AACTAATATACATAATTTTTAGTTTAAATTTTATATATTAGTGATAATTAAATAAAAATATTATATAAAATATAATAATTAATAATGTTTATATTTTTATTATATTATATAAATAATAAACTACCTTTAAATACTTAATCTTACTTGATCTAAAAGTTTTAAATAATCTATTAAAATATAAAAAATATATTATTAAAAACTTTTTTTATTATATTAATAATTGAAAAAGTTATATTACACTATTATTACTAATAAATTTTATATGATATACTATATATTAACCAATATATTTAATTTAATGATAAAATAAAATAGCTAATAAAAATAAATTTCTATTATACTTATATAAATAATATAGTTATATATATAATTAATACTGATTTTAGACGTGAAAATTTTAGTTACAATTTTATCTAATAACAAAATAAGTAAATGAAGCCTAAAATGTATATAAAAAAAAAATACTTTAGGATCAAAAAATGTTTCTAATACTTTATTATTAATGTTGTAATTAAAATATTTATTAATTTTAATGATTTTTTACAAAAAAATTTTGATTAAAACAAATTATTTCAGAAAATATTAAAAGAAAAAAACGTTAATGCAAATTATTAATTATATGTTAGAACATAAGTGGATCATATAATATCAAATCATATTTAATATAAAGGCTTAAGAACATAATTTCTTTTAAATTTATATTTATAACACTTATATATTTTTTTTGCTACCTTTTTACATCTTTTATAATATAAATATAAATAATAACATTCTTTATAAATTTTATAGCTATATTTTATCCTTTAAATATATATTATTTTTCAAAATAATTCTATCTTAATAAAGTAATTTTCAGTTTTTTATAAGCTGTATTATTCTGATTATTAAATAAAAATTCAGTATGATATATTAATAAAATTAAAAAGTTTTCATATATAAATTAATAAGTTAAAAAATAAGGATTAAATGCATTATTAAAGATAATATACTATATCATATAATAATTATGAAAACTTTTTATACTTCTAACTAATAGAAGTAGAATCTATTAGTTAATTATATGATATATAAGCATTTTGCAATAGAAAATGAGAAAATTACTAAATAAATTTTTTGAATTAATATTAAATCTAAATTTATTTTATTAAAAAAATAATATTTAGCTAATAAAGTAAAAAAAATTTTGGTAGTTTTTTTTTACTATTACAAAATATTAATATATAAAGTATTTTTTATTTTAATTAATAAAAATAGAATTTATTAATTAATAAAGAATAGATCTATTAATATATTATCTTTTAATCTACAAAATAAGAAATAAATTTTTTGTAAAAAAATTATTTCTAATAATTTTAACTGACTATAAATAAATAAACTAGCAAGAATTATTTTGACATTATATTACATATTTTTTAGGTAATTGATCTCATATAATTAAAATAATATTTATAAAAACTTACAAAGAAAAAAAAGATTGAGGATGAAAATAACCTTAACTTATAATATTATAATATCTAAACAAAAATTTATATAAACTGAATATGAATTTATACCTATATTTTATAAGATTATTAAGCTATACAATACTTAAACAGTTTTTTAGAATATTATAATATAATAATTCTTTTTAATTAGTCTTTTACAATATGTTAAAAATTTATGATATTTTTTTAGGATATTTCTTTCTCTTTATCATTTTACAATAAAATTATATTGTTATCTTACAATACTAATGATAAAATTAGTATTAACGTAAGATTAATAAAGAATTTAACTTTAATTGATATTTTAGAAGCTCTGAAGGATTTATAAATAATTATTACTTTAAACGATAATATTTATTTAGGATAAACTTTAAGGATTTTATTATAAAATCAAGAATTTAGTATAATTATATTTGTTAGTATATAACTATTATTAGTATTTAACTTATTGGTGATAAAACTAATTGAATTCTAAATGTTTTCAAAATTGTTTTATTATAGTTGTCTACCTTAACCAAGTCCTAAAGCTATTCTATTTATCCTAAATTTACTAATATAAATAAATAAAATACTAATTGATTATAAATAAAAAATAATTAATAATATAAAATGATTAATAATATAAAAGAATTTTCTGACGACTTCTAGGTCTTTCATATAACCTTTTATTTAATTCATTTCTTTCATCTTTGCTATTTTTGTCATCTAATGTGACACAGTTAATGTGATCTCTGGTCACATATACAGTATTATGTTATGTTAGCTAATCTTTTGAATCAATATTTTCCTATTACAGTATCCCCTCCTTTAAGAATAAACTCTAGTAAAATTTCTAAAATATTTGTCATTATGAATTTCTTTATTTATAGACTTCTAAATAACAAATTTCTAAAATGTTTCAAATTATTCTATGAAATTATAAATTTTATCGATTAATTACATAATAGGATTGCAAATTTTGCTGATTAATTATATGATTTCACATGATGATCATTAACAAATAATTAATCAATAATTATTTGTTTATATTTTTACAAAAAAGAAAATTCTTATGATTTTGAGAATTTTTAAGAGTTTTACATAGCCACTTTCTTTATTTATAAATATTTACTTAAAATTTTCTTCTATTTTTCTTCAAAATTTTGCTTTTTTTCAAAAATTATTGTAAAATTTTAAACTTTTCTTAGAATATTTTTCAACTTTTACCATAGTTCAAGTAAACAAAAAGAAAAAGTCTTCTTTCTCTTATTATAGAGCTTTAGCTTATCAAAAAAAATACTTTAGCAAAAAGATTTTTAAAGGTGAGACAGATATACCTAAGAATAGTTCAAATATGATTACTATTAAATAAACTGCAACTTATATAAGCTATCCTAAGTTAATTGATATATATATAATATATTTATTGTTTGAAAACTATAATAGTATGTTTGATCTTATTTAATATGACTACATCATATTAACTTTTTGCCTTTTCTTTTAACTTGTAAATAGAAGATTCTCATATGAAGACAATCCAAGAAGAAATCTCTTTAAAAGAAAATACTGAAGATATATCATTGAAAAATTAAATTGCATAGCTTTTCTCAGATTATGAATATTTATTATATGAAATAACTAAATACTCTTCTCTTTTATCTTAGAAACATAATACAAATAAAAAATTTGAGAATAATCTAATAATTTGAAGATGATATTAAATTTATCTGCTCAATAATTAATAATACAATAGCTAATTTAGAATGATTACGAAAATATTATAAAACTTTACAATGACAAAAATATATGAGGAGAAGTATGTAAATCCCTTGCTCAATGAAAATAATATTTATATAGGGTTATCTTAGGAAATAAAAAAATATATGCTCTTAAATACCTTACTATACCTGATAATATAATTCGCTAGTATTATTCACACATCACTCTTATTTAAATGCTATTACTATAAGACTTAATCTTAAATCATATTGCGATCAGTGTGTAAAATTCATGTGCACAATGTGCACATGTGCACATTAAATTTTTATGTGCACATATTACACAGCATAAAATGTGCACAAATAATTACTAAAAATAGATAAATTATATATAAAAATGGATAAATTATTTATAAAAATGGAAATACTATATAATACATGCATTAATTTTCTATTTTTAGTACAACTTGTGCACATAACTTTTGGTTCAAATTTTATACACTGATTGCGATATTGATGGTAATATAAAATTTTCTAATCATAAAAGGATGGCGTGTCAAATAGAGAGCTTATATTGGATTACTAATAATTACAAATATGATAAAAAATATAAATGCCTTCCAATTTAATATGACTTATAGCTTGATAAATTAAATAATTGTTCAAGCATAAAGTTGTCTAGTAGATTAATTAGCAGAAAAGCTATATAAATTAATCTAAAAGGCAAAATGTATTATTATTATAAGCAATGATCTTATTGATTTTAATATTAAATAAATTAAAATCCTTTATAAGGATAAACTATTTTCTATTACAGTCAGACCTATCTATAATCACCTCTTTTGGTTTTTAAAAATTACGTGATTATAGATAGGGATGATTATAAATAAAATCCATTTATAATCACCAGTTATAATAAATAAAATAATTTTTTAAGAAATACAACTTATATCTTAATAAATTTATTTTTTAGAAGTTGTTTTTACATAATAATTTTGGAATGATTTATAATAAAATATTTATATTAATTATTTATTGCAGAAGAACTACAGTCAATATTCAATATAACAAATTTAACATCTAGATTAATTAGATTTTGTTATAAGTAAATTTATTAATATTATAGTAAATTATTTAATAAAATTATTTGATATAATAAATAATACTGATTTTATTGCATAATATTTAATATATATAACTTTTAATATAAATATAATAAGATATAATTTTTTCAGAAATATTTCTTACATTATTTTATAAATTTTAATATTATTTTATAAAAATCAAAAATATTATTATAACATTTTTTTTATGATATACAATCTTGTATAACATTTTTATTATTTATAAAGATTTTTTTAAAAAAAAATATTATATTTATTTTTTTATTATTTAATAATTAGCAAGTTGCAGTTTTATTTTTGAGTGTATCTTGATTCTAAAAAAGTAAATATATTTAACATAAATCTAAAAAACCAATTAAACATTTTTAATTATTACCTAACCTGTCCTAAAATCTTATTCTGAAGAGATCATAATATCTATTTCCTATATACATCTATTTTCTTTCTTTTCTTACTCTATTGTGATAATCGCAAAAATCTTAAAAAATATTAATTATACTATTAAGTTATATTTATCATCATATGAGGCCTTTGCAATAGAAAGGGAGGAAACTCAAAAAAAAATAAAAAATGAGTTAATAATAAATCTGAACAAATTATAGTATTTAAAACATTTTTGGCTTATAAACTAAAATTTTAATTTTTTTAGAGTTTCCTCCCTTTTTATTGCAAAGACCCCATATTGTTATTTATTTCTACTTATATTGTAAATAGGATACATTATCCATCTTTTAATTCAGGATCAATTTTAATTCAAGTTCAACACCAATAAATTTTGGCATTAATTTTTGATAGCTATAATATAAAAAAAAATGTAAAAATAAAATATTAAAAATATAATATAAGAAAATAAAATATATATACCTTACTACCTTACTTATTTTCAAATTCTTTTTGATAAGTAACAAAATCATCTCTATTATGACCATCAATATACATTTCTTTTGCATATTGACTAAATATAAAACTCATTTTTTTTTAACCATCGGATTGCTGTTTTTTATTATAAAGGTATTAGAATTTTATTTTAACTATAAAATAATTTATAAAATATAATGCAATAAATACCTGATTTTAGTTTTTATCCATGCTAACAGAAGGTAAAATTTTATTACAAAACTTATTAACGGTTATATCAAATTTGTGTTATCGTAGATATGATGCTACCTTTAATTGAACATCCTAATCATCAAGAAAGCTACTTCCTTTAAGATGTTTTTCATGATTATTTTTAAGAACATCACCATAATTGATAAATGCTTTAACTTCTAACACAGCGAGCAAACCAAATTCTTCGATTAAGAAGGTCTGCAACAGTTTTTACTTGCTTCTAATATTGCATGTCATTTATTAAGGAGTTGTAAATAATGCTGAACAGCTTTAAATCGTAACTTATGTCCTGGAGTTAAATCATTATTCTCAAGTTTTAATTTACTTTAATAATTTTGTAAATATAAAAATCGGAATCAAAATCACTATCATTAGAACCACCACCAAAATCCCCGCCAGAAGAATTGTTACCAGGACTCCTACTAGAGGAATTATTATCCGAACCTCCGCCAGAAGAACTATTATTAGAACCCCACCAGTGGAATTATTACCAGAACCACTGCTAGAGGAATTATTAACAGAATCTCCACCAGAAGAACTACCACCAAAAGAATTATCACCACCAGAAGAATCAGAATGAATACTTTTATTTGATAACATTTGATAAAGTGTTTGCCCATTTTTTTTTGATTTTCTAAATGCTTTGATTATTTTTCGATATTTGGTTGTGCGTGAGTTTCCTAAATTTACTAATAGACACTTAGAAGACTTCGATTCTTTCATATTTTTTATTAAAACCCGAAAAAAGCCATTCCGCTTCATTTTCAATTTGGTCATCAATCCTCTTCTGTGCTATTTTCATCATCCGAATTTAAAATATTAGTGGGATTAATATCAGTATCATCATGACTTTTTCTTTATTTTGCTATATTTTTTGACAATGTTAAGTTTGTCGTTTCGATCGTCCCATATTTACAAAAAACTTTTTAAAAAAGAGAACTCATCATCGTTAGATTAGTTATATTTAAATCTGGCCAACATTATATAATTTCAGCATAACACCGGCCAGAACTATATGTTTCAAATTTCATTTACCTTAATAAAATAACTAAACTTTGCGAGCTAATAACTTTTTGATCTAGATGTCCAATTGAAATAATCTCGACATTAAGTTATAGCTCTGTGTTAATATCTATCACACAATGCTGAGATATTTTAAATTTATACATTAAAAAAATTTTTATTAAATTTTTAAGTTTAACAAATTTATTTGATGATTTATTGTGTCCCAAACCGTACTACTGGAAACAACTATATTGTTTGCAGAATGTCCTGACCTTGTTGAACTTTCAGGTTGTTGAGTTTCAAGTGTTTTTGTGCTAATATAACTTTCCACTTCAGAATCCACTAAATAAATTAGTTCATCATCCTCTATATCAGAGGAATCGGAACGTGCGGGTCTATCAACAGTTACTACGTCAATTTCTTCATCATCTTCATTTTCTTGTTTTACTTGATTATTTCGGGAATGTTCTGTTTCCTCTTCACTCACAATATCAAATTCATCTTCCCTTTCTTCATATACTATATTATCGTCAATTTCTTTAAACGCCGGATCCCAACAAACCCAATCTTCTTTATGTCTCGTTGTCCACGTATACATTGTTCCTTCTACATCCACTGATATAATTATCGGCTGTATAGGATGTTGAGCAAGGTCTATACACGTTTCATTTGGTCCTTGTAGAACTTGTACCAGCCTGGTAGTTCTTCTATCCCATATAAATATTTCGTGCGATGCTAATTTTCCAGAACCTTTAAAAAGGGAAACCCAATTATTTATTGTTTTTAATTAAAGTTAATTCTTAAATAAAAAGGAAAATACAAACCTCCTATTAGGTAGTCACCATTTTGACTGAAACAGCATTGGTTCCAATTATCTTTATTCACAGTTTCCGCAAATTGTAGTTCAGATTTTATATCCATCCCTTCGTCGTCCAACCCATAAAGTCGAATCGTTTTGTCTGAAATATTAACAGCAACCGTTCTATTATAATAAAAATATAAATAACCAAAAAAGAAAATCCCTTTAGACAAGAATAAATATGAATTTTATAAAATTTCACCACATATGCCCTTGGCAACCGAGAATCTACACATACTTCCCGTTACGGCTAACAGATATATTTCTTATAGACAAGTGACTAAGTTTTGGATTGTCTAATATCTAAAAAATATACCGAAAAAAAATAAAATAAAACATTTATAAGCTAAAAAAAAAAAAACACATTGAAAAATAGGAAATCCTATAATTCTGTTTACTTACTCTTCGAGTAGTTGGATCGATTACATTCAAATAACCTTTATTCGTCCCCGTGAGAATTCGGTTTCCACACTTATCGTATCGACAAACAACTGTTTTACTATATAGCGGAGTATTATTGCCTAACATCAGTAACAAGTAAGTTTCTTCCAAAGTGTTACTCTACAAATAATAAACAGAATTGAAAAATTTTAACACTTTACTGTATATAAAGAGTCGAATTCGTCGTTTCTTCACTGCTGCTGTTGTTCGCGTCAGACAAAGACTCTGCATTCGTTGGTAATGGAAATCGACGTATCGTGTCGCCTATTTCTACAATCACCGGAGAATCTTGGTATATTGAAGCAACGAAAATAAAACTATTATTGACGATTGAGCTGTGAAATACTTGAAAATATTTTTTCAATTAAACAAAGAATTTAAATATATACTGACTTATTTCTCGGGTGCATTTGAGACATAAGTACTGGTCCATCGAAACGGATCCATTTTTGAGTGCCTTTCGTTATATCCCAATAAACGCACTTGTGGTCTTCACCAGACGAGAGGATACAGCGACCATTACGTGACCAGCTAGTTGAAAATTGAATTATTTGGAAATTATCATTGATCAATAATGAAAAAAAGTTAGCTTTAAAAAAAAATTCATTAAAAGATAATAATATAATGAAAATTAACTTGGATGAAATAAACGTTACCTTACGCTTGTCACTGAGCTTACATGACATCTCATTTTACGGATAATACTCATTGACTGAAAGTCCCATATTATGCAGTAACCATCGGAACAACCACCTGCTAACATCGTACCTCGTTTATTAAAGCTGATACAACGTACAGGTCCATCTCTAACGGTCGCTTCAAGTTTAGCAGGATAATCTGATTCGAAAGGACCTTGAAAAATGATAAAATAACGTGAAAGATAAATTGTTAATACAAAGAATAAAAATGGATCTTCTTTAAAAGGACAAAAACTTACTTCTCAGTTCTAGATTCATTATTTGAAACTTGTTTTAGGAATGTTAATGTTAAGGAATAGGTTGAAAAAAAAATGCAAAAATACGAGTATGAATAAAGTAAATAAATTGGTGATAATTGGTGATACAACCAGTCACAATTGTGACATCGTGATATTCAATGATTTTCTAATGTTAAAGTAACATGTGACTATATGATAAATTTGACCTAATTGGACAATAAAATGACTAGTAGATATATAGCAACCCCGCGTTTTATTGAACGTGTTTTTTTTTTATTGCAACTTATTCAATATGGTACGTGTCTTTTATTATAATTTTTATTGTGTATATCTTTTTATTTCTTTTTACTTCCGAATAAATTATTTCAATTCTTATAGAGTTTAGGTAATAGGCGCAACCGGAGTGTACTTGATGCAAGTTTTATTAATGCTTTTTATTTAAAAATAAATAAATAAATAAATTTGTAGTAATGCAACTACAATTAATACAAAAATTATTTATTTTTTTGTAGGAAGACGAAACAGAAGCGGGCCCTAGTAGACCAACGAGACGTACCGCTTTAAGAGATGAAAGTGCCAGAAATGTTCAAAAACGAAGGCGACGCGATGAAGAAGAAGAAGAAACTGAAGCGTCGTCTAATGAAGGATCTGTCAGTCAACCTTCCACTATCGCCGAGAAAGCAGCTCAAAAATTGACTGCAGAGGTAAGTAACTTTCTTAAAGTTTAACTGCTTTGTGTATTTGTTATGTAAATATACAATTTTATTTTCTCAGGAACTAGAGCGCAAAGTTAAGGATGTGGTGCGACTTGCTTTGTTTTCTGAACTCCGAAAACAACCATTGAAGAGAGAAGACGTAACAAAAAAAGGTAAATTACTCAAATTTAATTAATCAATTATGTTTCTAAACCAACAATGATTTTTTTTTTATTAGTATTACACGAACATTCCAGAACTTTTCAAGTCGTATTTGAAAAAGCTCAAGAACTTCTCGTAGATATTTTTGGAATGAGCCTCGCAGAATTACCTTTAAAAGAAAAAAAAGCCGGAGGATCACGTAAACGTAAGTTTGATTTTTTAGCATGAATTTAAATCTGGGTATAACTTACTATTCCTCCTTTAATAAACGAACCTTTAGCTACTTCCTCGACAAAGTATGTTCTGAAAAATATTCTTTCTCAAGATTATAGAAAGGTAGGTATAATAAGTTGGGAAAAAAATAATGAAGAAGAATCTATGGGATTGCTCACCGTCATTCTGAGCTTGATACATGTAAACGGAAAACTTTTATCAGATGGTAAATTAATTAATTATATATATATATCTATTTATGTTTTCGCATATTATTTATTATATATATTTGTTAACTTTGTAAACATTTCAGAACAGCTTGCACATTACTTTCGTCGTTTGTGTCTAATTGACAATGATAAATTTGATTTAGGAAAAGTTTTATCAACATTTGTCAAACAAGGATATTTGAATAAACAAAAAGTGAGCAGATCTGATCAATCTCAGAATCCAGAAAAAGAATCACTTGAATATTCTTGGGGTCCTCGTGCAAAAGTTGAAATGCCAGAGGAAAACCTTATCGAGTTTATTCGAGCAGTAAGTATTATTATTAACTTAATACAATGATAAAATAAAATAAATTATTTGCATCCATCTTTTTAACCATCTGTTAATTAAATTCTTTCATTTCCCAGTTATTCGGTCAAAGTGCCCCTCCTGATCTTGATAAACAAATAGAAAGATCATCTGGAATATAAAATTATAATAATGTCTTAATAAGAATGAATTCCTTATGTTATCAATGAAATCTTATGTATTCAATATAATGATTTATTTCTTGACTATAAACTTTGTCGTTAAAAGTTTGGCGAATTTGATTCCAGATTTCTACATAATTTTTTTTTTTTTTTTAAAAAAACTAAAATAACCCATTGGTACGCCGAAATTTTCTCGCCGATAACCATTTGCGCGTAAAAAATGAAAAATTTTAAACGAAATGTTTGGTTTTAACCTTTCATTTATTTTTTTTTTATATAAAAAAAAAAAACGTTGCGCTATATGGTGGTATCATTACCCCTCCAATAATCTCGTATTATTCATGGAATATAGACTCGAGAATATCCTTCTACTGTTCGACGGCAGCAAGGACAAGATCTACAATAATAATCAATAAATGTTAACAGAAAATAAAGTATGACGCGTATTTGCGAATAATAAACATACTTGAATTTGCGCTGAGCCATCATTTCACGACACTAAAAATAAAAAAAATTTTAATTTGATTAAATCAACACTATAAAACAAAAAAAAATAAATATTTTAATTATTCCTAAACCAACCTCATTACAAAGTGCGAAACATCCACACGGCTTTAAAAGACACTGGCGAGCTTCTCCATGGCAGACAACACAAACACGATCCGTAATTGGTTGTGTAGTAAACGCACGTGGTATACGTCTTTCATGAATTAATGTCATTAACGCATCCGACTCATCTAGTGAGGTCGAAGACATTGATGTCTGTGTAATCCTTCGATACTGTGTCCTTGTTAGAGTTGTAGAATGCAACAAATGTGCAAGCATTGATTGCATTATGGAATTTGTTGTTGACGAGGATTGTTGATCATCACGTTGTTCTCTAAGGTCATTTCCTAATAAAATTAATTCATCACCAGGAATTATAGAATCTTCAATTTCTTCATGACCTGAGTCTAAATCGGACTCGTCATGTTCAGCACCTGAAGAGCTATTATAAACATAATCATCATCCTCTTCTTCATCCTTGTCTTCTAAATCCTCATAAAGAAATTTATGATATATTTCTTCATCCCAATCAATTTCATCCAATTCTCCAGCCTCATTAGTAATAGATTGATTATTTTGTACGATTTGTCTTCCACCATAAAACGACCAGATCCAGTTAACAAATCTCATAATCACATTTATAAAGACTTGAATAATTTCCAAAACAAAACTTGACCAGACAATAACACGACGTTGATCTTCTTCAGATTCCGTAGAAGTCAAATCATTAGTATCCTGTTGCTCATTATCATATCCACGTTTATTAGAGTTTTCAACAGAGGTTCTTGACTTTCTCTTTTTTGAACGTTCAAATATTGTTCCTAAAGGAACAGCTATTGGTGGAAGCTCATTTCGAAATCCATCAACACGATTTGTTTCGATCACTATAGTACCAATTCTGTATAAAGCCATTGTATAATCTTCATGAAGAGATGGCATCGATCTGGCATCTAAAAAGAATGTTCGCCGTACATTGCCACCAGTTACGATGTAGGCAATTATATGAAGAATAACACATATCAAAATAACAGCAATCAAAGCTAATTCAGGAAATCTAGCAAAACTTTGTAGAATTGGATATGTTTCTGATCTATAAAATAATGCATATGCATAATGAACTATAACAAACGAAATTTTTGTTAGATGCGTGTAAATAAAAAATGTTAACATTAGTAAATAGTCTTACTAATTCCAGATACTCCGACAAAGGTTGTGGGAATGAGTCGATATTGAATACCACGTGGATGAAGATATAGAACTTCAAGAAAGAAAATGTCTATTACTTCTAGGAAAGCTATGAGAAGTAGATGAGTGTTCGATGTGTTCGGGGTAACATTACAAAAGTAATGAAATAACAAAGCGTATTCGTAAAGAGTTGTGCTTTGTTCTCTCCCTGGCAAACTAAAGTAAAGTAAATGGATTAATGTAAAAGTATTCTAGGCATAATAATTATTTGTTCATGAAGAATTTCAGTTGTAATTTCATAGTTTCAACTTTCAATTATTTTTTTTTTTTTTTGAATTAGAAATCTGACTGTCATAATTTAAAAAATATTCTTGAAACCGAACCAACAATACAAATTAAGTCATACCTTCTATTCTCTAGACTTGAATGAAACGCTTTCATTACATATACAGCTGACAAAGCCTTCAAAGTCAACCATAATGCTTGATGATCGGTATAATCAATGCCACAATCAAAAAGCCATTGTGAAAAGTATGATCGTATGGAAGGAGTCTCTATAGCAAGTCGCGACAAAAGAACGCAAGCTGCTCTTGCAATTAAATAAAAGCAAGGCAAACGAATTAAAAATCTAGCCATTTTCGATAATGGGCGTGGATTACGAGGGGATACAATGGCATTTATCCTATTATTTAAAACATTCTGTAATTTTCAAAAAATTAATGACTTCATATGTAAAATAGGGTAATCCATTTAAATAAAGTTTAAAATAGATCTTACAACAAAAATTGCTAGATATAAGTGATTTGAATATAAGAAATTCCATAAAGTAGGTTGATACTCGCGTGGCTCTAACGGTCGACCATCGATATCAACCACTTCGGCTCCAGGAAGCCACCGCATAACATTGTCCACACCCTTGGACATAACCTCAAGCATAAAGTCTAAAAAACTTGTATCCTCAAAGTCCATATTCATTTTTGCTTATAATATTATTGTAATTTTTATAGACCGTTTCGAAAAGTTCGAAAGGCAAAAAAAAAAATCGACTGAAAAAAATATATATAAAAAAGTGTTGTTATTTTATAAATAATATAAATAGAAACTGTAGAATTGATGTCAGACCAAATTGGTCAGCCGCCAAATTTAGCCCTTCTTTTTGTGTCCAATAACAGCATGACTATAATTTTTTTTGGATACATGTGACCCGAAATTTCGGATCTTCTTCCGAATTCTTGGGAAAAACTTAAAGAAAATAAATAAGCTTTACTAAAAAAGAGATTATAAGAGATTACATTATATTTGAGACATGCTCCTCCGATTAATTTTTTTTATGATTTACATACCCTTTTTTTTTTTTGAAAATTTATAATCAAATTTTATTTATATTAATTAATTAATATCACGTGGAAATAACCATTCTTCAACAAATTAAATGATTTGGATTCATTTTTTGGTAAAGTATATGCTTACGAATACGATGTTCTAATTAATCCTAAAATATTTAAATTATACTTTTTTAG